ACAAGGTGTTCATTCTATTATACTGTATATTGTAGCGCTAGATATTATATTGCCGAAAAAGATTTTTCACCTCCAAAGATTGACGCATGCTGAACTTATTTTACATATCACTAATGAAGTTTTAGCTGTACAGAAATTAATATAGTCATTTTACAGTATATTATGTGGAACTTTATTTTAAAATGATTAAAATCAGTTAATTTAGAGCACATTTGTGTTAATTCACATATTTTTTACAGTATTAGTGAACTCGGAGTTAAACATTGTTTCCATTGTGGTGAAACATTCCTGGTCAGTAAATGAGCTTGCGGGCGTTTCCTGCCATTCCCTCCCAGTTTAAAGCTCCGGCTAGTTCAAAGTGCACCAGCATACAAAGTTACATACCACAGCTGTGAGTCATGAGTGGGGCATGCTGGGTAGGGGAGTTCCCTGCTGTACTTGGACCAGACAGAGAATGTGTTATCATGACAGCAAACTTATGACTGATGTAGACTTTGATTAGGAAGAGTTTACTCAGCTCTTCCCTCAGTTTGGTTTAACATCGTATGATGAAAAAACAAAGCATCCACACTAGTGAGCAGCACTGCACTGCAGGGTGACTAGTACTGAAATATTTCAGGACTTCAAACTGCCCCCTGTTCCCTGTAGTGACATGGCAGATATTCTTCACAGGTGTTGGTGGAAACCAAAGACAGAACTAAAAGAAGAGTCATTATTGCACTTTTATTTATCAGGTGGATATGGACACCTTGCTCAGCTTATTCTGGAGTCTTGTCCAAAATAGCCAAAAAAAACCCTGATGCATGGAGCTTTAAGTAGTTTTCAGCAAAAGTAATTTCATCTCTTCTTGAGTAACATTTAGTCTGCAGCACTTAAGCTTGAATATTGTAGTACACATTACAGAATAGTCAGTCTGCCTGTCCCAAGCTTCAGCAAATTATCTCTACAACTACAGAGCACATTTACATAAGATTAACTTTGACTTCCCCAAGAGAAAGAATCCTAATATGTTTTATAACCTTGTGGTCTTTTCCTGTAGAATTATCAGAAATCTGAATTTTTAATCAAAGTTTTTATTCAGGAAATATCAAACTGTAATGTGCTGCTTTTCCTGGATGAACCTTTTACTGCCCTCGGGACACGTTGGGCATTTTATAGCTAATTCAGGAGGTTGTTTGTTCTGTCCAACTTTTAAACTTTTAATCTTGTATAAATTGTGCTTGTCTGTGTGTGTGTGGGTTTGTGTGTGTGAGAGAGAGAGAGACAGAGAGAAAATCAAGGCTTATAAAAAATGAAGAACTTCCTCCTACCTGCCTCCTTATCGAGGTGTGTCTGACTTTGGCTACCTGCCATAGTTGTCGTGCCCCACCTAGACACACCCTGCGGTGGCACTTAGGACTCCTCTGATTTGGTTCGGTGGGTGTTTGACTAGGGGATGGAGGCATAACTGGACTAGATATCTGTGGATAGTTTATGGTTGTTTTCAGTGTTATTTTGTTCATAACAAGTTTAGTTTTTCTACTGTTACAGTAAAAGCCAAAGGTGCCAGTTGATTGGGATTTTTATAGTTTGTGTCATATCCATACTTCCATATTAATATTATATCCTTCATATTAATGTACAGTATTTACTAACAGTAATCATAGTACTGTATTTTATATAACCTTTGCAGGTGGTATATAATGTACAGCTCTGTTGTGATTTTCAAAGGTGGCTGCAATGCAGTGAATTGAAATGTGATATAATTGTGCCAGTAACAGCACAGTTATGGTGTAATTTCATTTGCATAGCCTGTGAACTTTTTGAGTACACTTAATTTTGTTATTTTTCTTTTTGTGTAGGAGTTTGTGACTCTTCCCCGCTGACAAACTCTGGTCAGATTTTAACTAACAAAATCTCTCCCTCTCACTCCCTCTGCTTGTCTATTCTGGTCAAATGAGAGGTTGTAGTTGGGGTCAACTCCATGTACACAGTAGTGCAGCCCACCCACACACACAAACCCCCGTGGTCTGAGCGCAGTCAGGAAATCATGAACACTTCTCTCTCTCTCTCCAAGACCTACAGTGAGTATTTTAGAAACATTCAACAGTGAAAAAAGTTACTCTGTTTAAGGCTTTACTGCAGAGACACTGGGCTAGGTTACATGTGGTCACATGTATTTAGACAGTTACCAATATCTAGAGAACAGGTGATACACATACACTAACTATGGAATGTTAAATGATTCAAAAAAATGTGTTTGAAAACAGACTTTTGTAAGTGTGTACATTTAGGTTTGTACCTGTAAAGGTAATTTGTAATCCTGCCTGGAAAGTGGAAACCTCAGTGGAGATATCCTTCAGTACCTACTACTTACTGGTAAAATAGAGATGTTCCTGACAAAGAATAAAGTCAAAGAGCAGCAGCAATAGTAATCCTGATTCTGATCACCTAATCTGAATCCAGGCAAACAAACAAAAGTTAGCTTTTAGTGCATAGGTTGTGTCAAGTCTGTGGTTCGGCTGGAAGTGTCTGTATCACCCACTAGTTTGGAGTGTATCGGCCACAAAGATGCAGATTGATCAGAAGTTCATCCTGTCCTCTCCGCTTATGGGCTATGATTACAAAGCTCTGCTTAGAAAACTCAACCGCGTGTGCATGTTATCATGCAAGTTTTTTTTTGTCTCACAGCTTGTGAAAATATGTTCTTAAGCCTGAAGCTGAATGTGCAGACCTGTAAAGGAGAGTTTGCAGGCAGAAACCAAAATGTATGCTTACAAAATTTAGCTTACAGGCAAGCACATCTTCTGAATCATTTAATATTCCACACAGCAACAGCATTTGTACTGGTGCAGAAATGTTTTATTTGTAATTTCATACAGAATGTCATGTTGTGTTATTCTGTAAAACCCTGTCTCACAGAAATCATATTTATATACCATTAATTTGTTTTCTCAATTATGTTGAGCTGGGGAATGTAATTAAGAAAACAAATTAGTATATAAACATAATTTCTAGGAGACAAGGTTCGATGGTAACAAGGTAAAAATGATAGCATCCTACATTCATCAGGCAGTATTATACTTTATAATGAGATTGTTTGAAAAGAAAGGACTTTGTTAGTCTTTGTCTGCTGAATGTCACATGCTACCTAAATATTATATAGTGACTTCTTTTTGTCTTACTAGAAATTCCTCTCTGCTCCCTCAAGCTCCTCTAGATGCATGCAAACTTTCTCAGAGGAGTTAAAACACAATGGACTTGTTTTTATTATATTTAATCACACAACACAGAGTCACTGTGTCATGAACACCCAACCCACTCATGTTATAAATGCATACACTCACATGGCGAGGAAAGGAAATAATTGGCTGCTATCCATCTGTACTTTTTACATTTATGGAGATTGATGTTGTCCTTTAAGATGAAAACATACATATGAACCACCCAGGTTAAATGTTCCAGCATAGTCTTACTGTGGCTCTCTGTGCTGGGTTTCAAACTGTGGTGGGCGTGAAGCGTCTTCCAGCTTGAGCAGACTCCATTTATAATCCACTCATCAGAACAATACTGAACACTTCTGATGGTATACTGCAATATAGAGCACTTTAAGTGTGAGTTATCTGCTCAAACCAGCTTGAAAACAGTGACGAGGTTCTCCACTTTTGCTGATTGTATGAGACTGTGAGACTTTTGGACCACGTCAGACAAGCCACTGGAGGTTTTAGTGTTTGTATTTCTACCTCATTTGCTGACACTTAATAACAAGTGAACAACAATGTTTTTCGTTGACCCCCTGCTTCTTGTCACTCACACACTAAACAGAAGACATTTAAGTTTCCTCCAGGACACAAGTCCTCTAAACAACATGACACTGCCCCAGGCATGTGTATTTATTTTAGGTTTCCACTAGCTGGGGCAGTAGGTAATTTCAAGCTGGGTGAATGTACAGGCTGGATTTACAGTAGGTTAATTACAACAATAAAAATAACAAGAAGGTCAAAAAATCTTGACAATGTCACTGATAATATCATGGCCATTTAAATTTTTAACACTAATCATTCTCACGGGGATTAAACTTAATAGACTTGATTTTGTATCATTTAATCACACAATCCAGAGACTTTGCGTCATCATGACACCCAGTCCACTAATGTTATGATGAAAGGAATAATTCCATGAAAGATATGAATGTTAACCAGGAAGCGAAGGCCTGAAGAAAGATTTGCCTTATGGGAAATGTAGGACCCGGTGGATCCAGGTCCTCACATTTTAGGATTTGATGCTTTTGCCTGTTTTATATCATTGTAAATATTTTCTGTAAATTAAATAATTTAGCAAAACTGTAGGCATGCATTTCATCTTTTTTACAGTATGTAGACTGAAATATATACATTATACAAAATGCAATAACCATAGCATTCTAATGCTAAATGTTGTTTTGATTATACATTTAGCAACTTTATCACATAGTCATGCAAATAAACCTTGGTAGTGTGTGTCCAGTCACCATCAGTCAGTGTTATTTATATAACCCAGAGGTATGTATGTATGTATGTATGTATGTAAGATGTCATGTCTGTGCTTCAGCGAGTTAAAGTGCAGTTTAGGCTTTTCTTTCTCTCTACATACTAGGGCCTTCTCGCATCATTATCGTCTCTCTCCATTCCACACTGATGATAATGTCCCTTAGAATCTCAGGAGGATGTTTTGCTAATTGGGCTCCTCATAGACTCTCAGGAGGATGTTTTGCTAATTGGGCGTTACCTTAATTGTGGTTGACAGTGGCATCTAGACAGTCAGGAAACAGAATCTGCTTAATGTCCCTCAGATGAAAAACATTACACAACATAGTGCACATTTAAATTTAGTATGTTTTCTTTAAAGATGTATTATCTGCGTCAGTAGCCAATAGGATCAGACTCCCACTCTGGTAGCTGCCAAAGCTGTAGGAAATTTTTGTATTAAGGTTACTGTGATGAAAAAGATAATACTAAAAAATACTGTCTCTATTTCTAAAGTTTCCAGAATTCCAGAAAATCAAAGAGGACTTCCCTACCTCTGTGAACAAACTACGGCAACTGTTAGAAGATAAAGTTCACATCCTAAAGTCTTTCATCACTGAGGACGAGCAGGTAAACCATATAAAACTTAAGTGTACCAACAATAATGTAACAGGAGGAAAAATGCTTTTATACAGTTTGTACTACTTTAAGTTATAATAGATGTTAAGAATTGTATGATTTTAGTGCTAGAAACCAAGTGTGGTATAATAAATTGCCATGTTGTCACATGGTAACAGTTTAGTTCAGTTTGATTGAGGACATTCTTATTATATTTAACTATTTAAAAGTATAAAGCATATCATCGCCAATATCAAGTTATCACTTTTTAAACTTATATGTAGAAAAATGTAGAAAAATATATAATGTACACACACTCACCAGCCACTTTATTAACCACACCTGTACAATAGTATGCACTTCAGTGCAACACTTCCGCCTTAACATTTGTGTTTATGAAACTCAAAGTGTTTCAGTTTTTGGTGAAAATGTCATAAATGTATAAATTCAATTATATATTTGTTATTGAAGTCATATTTAAAGGTGGTTTTGTACTGGACTACATTATAAGAAAAATATGAAGTTGTGTGACCTCTGAACACTGCGCATAGCATATGTGATGCAATAATATGAAAAACACACATACCTGTACTCTTTATCAAAAATCTCTACATATTTAATTGAGGGCCAACATGTTCTGCTTCAGAGCAGCATCACTGGAATCTGAACTGTGACACTTCTGATGAAAATCATTTGGATGATTATCACCACTTAGCAGAAGCATAAAGTATTATTTAGGCTTTGTGAGCTTGGAGCTGAGTTTATTTTAACTTGATGTTTTAAAAACATAAATCTGTGCTATAAGGTACAAGCCTAATTGCTCAACACTGCTGTAACCGCATTCCACCTTCTGTAACAGTCTGTATGGTGATTTGGGAATCTGCCTCCCTTTCTGTTTTTGTCTGCCTTTCTTTCGTTTCCCTTGTTGCTGATCTCTCCTGAGGCCATACTCAGACAGGCAGCTCAAATCCAATTTATTGTCATGCTTTATTAATTAAGTGCCTTTTTTGAAGCCTTAATTGCAAGAAATACAATAAAATAGTAAAAGATCAAATGAAATCTTGGCTTGAAATGCCACTGAGTAGGTTTTAATGTCACTTCCCTTATGTGACACGTAAATTCTTCAAAAAATTTTAAATGAGCGTGATGGTCATCAGGAATTTGGAATCTTGGAATCACAAGGACTCAAAGTTCAAAGTGTTTATTTCGTCATATGCACAGTTAAGAAACGTGTTTCCCTGTACAATGAAATTCTTACTTTGCCGTCCACATGAATGCCACAAAATACAAATGAAATATAAAGTAGATAAATAAGTAACACAAAATCTAAGGCACAAAGTCTAAGGCACTTTAAGCAGTGCAGATGCAGCAATATGTAGAAAAAAAATATACAAGACTATAACACAACGTGTAAACTCGCGAGAGCTTTAATTTAGTTTTTCCATCTCCCCAGAGTTTTTCTACTCTAACCAATCTTGTACATTTTTGCAGAGATATTATCCAATCAAGAGCCGGGGTTATGTACTGTATCATTCAGACTCAGTCCAACCCCCATCTCTTAGAAACAGCCTTTCACTAAACGGTTTCATCTATTATTTTGTGGTGACAATGTCTAGAGATGTTTTGATTGAGTACGCTTTGGGATTTTGTTCTGAGCAGGGCTATATATCAAACTTTTCAGCATAGACATGGTCCGCTTCTGAGACAAGTGAAACACGCAAACCCAGGTGCAGTGTGGATACAGTACGGTTCCTGGTGGCAGCAGAACAGTCACATGCATGCATAAGCTACTGGCTACCAGCAGTGGGGATTCTAAGAATATAAATGAATAGAAACTTATTGTACCTTCACTGGAACTTATTATATGTTGTGAAGTATAGTTAATTTGGATTTTTTTTTTTCTACCTGTTGCCAATATTTGCTCATTGCAGATGCATTATGTCAGCACTGGCAAATATGTAGTCACAGCAAACCCCTGCAAAATTCTGAAGGGATAGAGAAGTGAAAGACATAGGTTTTCTTGAATGAAAGGATGAAGCAGAGCATAAACAACCTAAAGTAAAAAATGCTGTATGTTGACATGGAAACAGTGTGATCAGCTGGGTAAATGTGAGGGAAGGGATAGGCCATTTGGAACATATACTGTAGTTCATGGTACATATTTACTGTATTTGTACCTGTAAGTGTCAGACCCTGCTTGTCTCTATCATTACAGTGAGAGATTATATTAGAAAAACAGATCAGACTTGGCTGCTGAGGGGAACATAGTGCCAGCTTTGCTCTCCGACTGAGTCACATGGACACATGCAGACAGACAGACGAAGGAGAGGATGAGGGTGAGCATCATGTTCTGCCAGAATGACTCAGTCGGTCTGTTGTCTTTCAGCCCACGGCCGCTCTCCGAAGGAGTTCGTCACCTCGACGAGTTCAGACGCACCACGTTAGATATCGCTTCTTACAACTTTATCTTTACTCATCCTTAAGTTTCTCTTTTGGTTTTCCCTTATCTGTCTGTCTTTGTCACCTCCCCCTCTCTCTGTCTGTTGCTGGTGATTGTCTGCCCTCTCCCCTCCTTTTAGAAGCAGTTTTACTCAACATGTTGCTATGTCTGATAAACTGACACAGCAGACTCCTGAGAGCCGAAATCTTATATGGGTAAAATCCCATATCAGATACTCTCCAGGCTAAATATTGTATGATGACTTACAAACTGTTTTCATGTTTTGTCTGTTTAGAGTCTGCACATTGGTTTTTACCTTGACATTTTTTTCTTCGTCACTAAAAGGTGAATTCTTTTTGGGGGTATGTCATTCGGAAACAGAGGTATAATTATAAATCTAACCTAAGGATTTGACAGCTTCTATTTTTTTCCCTGTAGTGAAAATGCTCAGTGTACAATGAATATGGCCAGTGCCAGCTTCTGTCTTGACTACTTCTCCTGTCTGTATCTAAAAGGTGATTTTAGCATATAAACTAAGGCAGGGGACAGAAGTTACCAAAAGTCTCTCATGTAAAACAAAAACTTGGTAATTGTGTGTGTGTGTGTGTGTGTTTGTATAGGCAGTACATTTAAAACTTAACGGATACGGTTGGTCATTGTCTATTTTAATAGTATTTTCAACATTCCCCATACAGAAACTAAAACAACAATGAAATGCCTCACAGTTAATGTCTGTGAGTAGAGGATTAATCTGGATTAGTTTATTTGTCTGTGCCACAGACCTCTGTTGTTGTTCAAAAAGGATTAATATCAGTGAAACACACTGGGCAACATGTTGTCATTACAAAACCCTAGACCTGCATGTTTGTTTAAAATGTTGCCCCAAAAGCTCCAAACGTCCATAACTTTTTACAGCGTCCAAAGTTAGCAAGACTTTCGACGCTGTCTTTGGACAACGCGCAAGCAAACAAACTAATCCATTTTGGAGACTGACAGACATTAAATGTGAGTAGAGGCACTTCATTGATGGGTTTAGTCTCTGTATTGGGACCTTTGGAAATACTATGAATATAGAAAACGGCCGACCTTATCCTTTAAATAAACTGTTGGTTTGCTAATAGACCTTTTTTGCAGGTAAACACAGATGTTACTAATGACATTAAATAAGGTTCTATCCTATTCAGGTGCTGGGCCTGGATTAATGTGATTAGTGGCCCCTGTGGTTACCTGCTCTATGTTAACATGCTAGCTTATTGTACATTAGCATGATAATCAGATTTCCAGCAGATAACGAGACTACGGGCAGCTAGTTTAACAGAGTAGCATCATGTAAACACCATATTTGCTTTCCATTTAGCCAATAATTTGTGGACATCCTGTATGGCCACTGAAGGGTTTGTTAAACTGTAAAGCCATTCTTACTCTTTACTCTGTGTGGTTTCGTTATCAGGGTTTGTTGCGTGAGGAGAAGACTGTACCAGAAGGACCGTGGAGGTTTGCTGTCCTGAGTGAGAAGCTGACCTTTCACCTCCAGCAACTACAGAGACAGACCGAGCAGGAGCTCAGCAACCTACACACGCAGTGAGTCCATGCCATGATGTGTGTTGGTCAAGCTAATATATAGTATGTCTGAGAGTGCACATAAAGCCTTCATTTCTCTGTGCTTGTGTGTTCAGCATCTCGCTCAAGGGCACATCAGCAGGGTGGGCACTTGCTAAGGGCTGAACCAGACTAGTTGTGTTTGAAGAAAAGTTTCTTTGAATGCAGCTCAGCCTTGGTGCTTGTCCTGATGCTTTTATTTCTCAAGTTGACAACACTAGTAACACATACAATTGAGTTATTCTATTATTACCAAAAACTAAGAGACTCAGGAGGTTATTAATAAAAACTGGCAATCACCATGCAGGTTACTGACTGCTATACTATTAGATAAAAACATCTACCATGCAAAACACTATAGGCAAAATTCACTATGTTCCGCTCTGTCTTGATAACCCTGGTTCTTTCCAATAGTATATATTCAATTCACTTCCCTATATTCCTGTAAGGAAAAGTTGATTGTTCTTAGTGAAACTGGATTCTTCTCTTCAGTAAGTGTTGGAAAGTGTGCGTAGGAGGCAGCTCTGTCGGTTTGTGGAGTTTGTCACAGAGCTGGAACACGACTGTGGGAGTTTAGTGTATCTCATAACCGCAGCAGGTTCTGCTCCGCTGGAGAAAACAACAGGATCCTTCCTGCTTCTGTGTGTGTAGCTGAGAGAGTGAGAGATGGGAGAAGACAGAAAACAAGAGTGAATGGGTTTTTCATGCATTTGTGGGTTTGTGTGTGTGCTCCTGTAAATGTGTCTTTGTGAGGACCAAATGGAGCCTTTGAGCTTAGACTATTTTGTCACATATACTGTTACCAGATGTCCAGAATTAATGTCCATATTCAAAATTATTTAGATTTTTGTCCGTTTTTTACTTTCACTTTTGTTGTCTGGTTGCTGACAGACTACAGCCCCAATATGCCCCCAGTTTAAGATCTGTGGACTCTCTGTGTGGAGCATATAAACTACACTTGGCTTTTTTTTACTGTGAGACTTTCATACACCACGGTATGTTTTAGCTTCTTCAAATTTTAATTTGATTGTTTAGACAGTTCCCAAAATGGTATCATTTCAATGTGTCAGTCTCATGATGCCAAACACACCATCAAGTTCAACCGGTCTAGTACATGAAACACAAACAGACCCAGTGATAGGATTTCTGGTGCTGTGAACAGATACAGACCTGACAAACAGCACTGAACTGATGTGATTTATAAAAAGATCAGAGCTGGTGCTGTGTTCTCTACCCTTTGTGTCCATACAACAAGCAAAGTGAGATCGTGAGCTTTAGCATCACTTCATCAAACTGCTGAATTCAAATATGAATTCTAAAAGAGCTGACCTGGCTTTAGTTGTACGATATAAAATGCATGGAATAGAACTTAACCAGCCTAATATTTCACCTAAGAAGCTTGTTGTATCAAAAGAAATTATGTCATTAGATTCACCAGACGTTTTGGTTACAATTTTGGGTTTTGCTCAGAGATATTTCCTTTTGTAATTTGAAAAAGCAAATTCATATAGTCATCAATTTTAGACACCATTTTCCTTTTTCAGTGGCCCAGAATTAGCAAAGATTGATTATTCTTGTTGTGGAAGCATTCTGGTTGTATCAAGCTGGCTGGTAAAACAGTCAAGTGTCTAGATAGTTAGATAATGTTCCTGGTTAGATGTATGTGTATATATAAAGCTGTGAGAAAGTGAAAGATTCGAGTGAATTTTCAGATTGTGTTACTACTTGTGGTGTGTGATGGTAAATCTTCAGATGGTGGTAGGTGGCTGCTGCCTCACCCTGATCGCTGACTCTCTGTTCTCCTGCCATGACGAGTGGTTTGGCAGAACAGCACTTCAACTGGTCTCACTTCTGTCAGACAAGACAAGCTAAAACACATCTCAGCATTTAAGGTGTGCCAGCAGCCACACACCCACTCGTGCGCATACACACACACAATATTCTGATGAAATTCCAGTAAATGTCCTAATTTCTCAGCAGCCCTGGTTCTCATTGCCAATGGTGATCGGCTCTTGTCACAGCTTAGATCAAAGGATTAATGAGAAGATGAATTGGTTCTTAATGAAAACTGTTACTGTACACATCTTCATCGTAGTGCCCTGCCCAACATGATACACACTTCTCATATCCACTTGTCTTATTAGAGGAAGACATCACCTTGCTTTCATTTTACTGGGATATTTATTGGCTTTAAGAGGGATTATGTGGTAATGTTAGCTACTACTCGGGGGTGGGCTTTGTGCAGGAGAATAGAGCTAAGACTACAATATTTAGGAGCAGCGATAAGGCCGATAAGCAGCTTTCACACTAAGAATTCTGGAACTCCTGCTTTAGTTCAGTTTCTGTGTCAAGGCAATTCCCTTAAAACTTGCAGTCTTCATCCCCTGCCAAGAGAACCATGTTGCTGTTTGTTAGCTTTGAATTTAATACCAACCAAGCTGTAACCTTCACAGCTGTGTTCAACACAGTCTCACTGGTCTTTTGCAGTAACAGTGTCTGTGGCTGGAAAAAGGACTGTATCAAAATGAATGGAGCAAAAAGAAACAAAAAACTCATAAGCAACTTCAATTCCAAAAACTATTTTAAATTATTGGTGCTAATTTTGAAAATCATTGTTGTTATGCAGGCTTAAATACATGTGTGTTTGGGAGCATGTTCACCTCAGAGTGCGTTAACAATGTGTGGAAGTCTGAATGAAGCCTGGAATAATATTCTGGGCCAAAGAACGAAAACAAAGTCTGCTGTGTTCAGATGCAAACTGGAATCAGACTTGTTTCCTGTTTCAGTCTTAAATCCATTGTTATGTAACTGGGCACCATGAATCTAAATGAGCCAAAGTCTCTCACTGTGGTTGAATTGGAAACAAACTGTCGATGGCACAGTGGACATTTAAGTTTCTCCCTTAATTGTGGCTGAAAGTCCTGCCTTGTTTACCTCCTTCCTTCCTCATAAATCTGTTTTATAACTATACTTGGTGCTTATAACTAGAAGCATCCAGAACAGGAATGTGGCCCAGTCCAGAAGCGAGGTCACAATGAAAGCTTCCACCCTGCTCTGTGGAAGGGCCCTTGACTTTTCACCTTCCTGCCTGTGCAATGGGAAACAGATCTAGTTTTTTAACATATAAGGATTTTTATAATAGCAAAATAAAAATAGCTTTAAGATGTACAAGTATAAATTAGAGAAGGGGCATCTTCAAGGCTCAGTTCAGCAAAATTTCAAAGAAAAACCATTTTATCTTGTTTTTGTATTCTGCTAAACACTTACACTTATGTTACTTATTACAGGTTCAGTTCATCCAAATCAGATTTTATAAGAACATTATGGAATGACAGAATTGTCTCTAATCTGCCAATTATTTTCTGTATTGATCTCATTGTTTATAAAAAAAAAGAAAATAGCTTAAACTATTTGTCATAGTTTCCTTCATTTACATGTTTTCAATCCATTTCATATGATCCTTTAATAAGTAACATGTAGTTGCAAAGGCTGAATGCATTCACATGGTGAAATGAAGTATCTCAAAACAAACCTGAATTGTTGACTTGCTTTTCTTTTTCTAAAACATCAGGACAAACTTTATGGTCAGCAGCTGCACATAATGGACTGAAAGCTCGCACAAGCAGCAAAGTGTGAGGAATAGATTGAGTCAGATTGTGATTACTTTTGTTTTCAGTGGTATTTTCCCATAGACAGATTGAAAGTGAGTCTGAACTCTGGTTACCCAAAGAGCGTCTGTCTTGTTGCCAAGACTAACTGGCAGCTTGGAACCCCCCCAGCTAAACTCTGTCAACCCACTCCTTGTCTTTATCATCTTGGTCTCTGAAGGGTAATCTGCTCATTCCATCAAATCAGTCAACAAGGTAGAAAAGCTCAGTTACCTCATTGATTGATCTTATTAAATTGGACTCTTATTAACCAGTTAAAAGCTTCATTTTCTGAAGCAGGACATGTACACCCCAGAGGTCACATTGACATGGGAACAGATGATGAGCATTTATGGTCATAAATTATCATTCAGACAAACAACAGTATATTGGAATTTTGACTTAAAACTGAAGATGTGTGCAGTAGACAGAGTAACATTGTCTTGTTTTGATGTATTTGACTTTCTTTATTAAGTTTGACTCTTTTTGGGGGGTCCTCCTGTTATTATTATTATTTGCATTTCACTTTGTCTTCATTACATTTTTTTCTTTATTCCTCAGATTTCACTTTCTTTTCCCTTTAATTCTCTTTCTCCTTCATGTTTTAAAAAAACAGGAGTTTACTCAAACAAGACTAAACATGATTTTCCTTCTCTTCACTCCTTTCTTTTATTCAGTATGTCTTCTTATCCTCCTGACACCATCAAAACATTATTGCTTTTTGCTTTGTGCCTTTATATCCTTTTTTTATTTAATGTTTTTTTTTTCATCCTTGACTACCTGATGTTTGTTTTCCTGCAAGTCTTTTTGGTCCTTCTCGTCCTTTTGACAAACATTTTTAAAATGCTCTTCCTCATATTTGAGAAGCTGAAACCAGAAAATGTTTTGTATTTTTTCTTAAAAATAACTCTAACATGTAACCAGTCATCAAAATTGTTGCCACTGAATTGTCTGTCAGCCAGCTGGAATTATTTCAGCTGAGACCGTAACTTCTGTTTACACTGGCCAGCAGTTTTATTTGTAAATGCAAATATACTGTGCATATAAAGATTTGAAGTAAAAGTAGTGACACACGTCCATGTTCATTTACTGTACATCCCGTAGCATCATCATTGTTCATGATAGAAACATTTGGTAGAGTTGATTTTATTCACTGAAATAAATTCTGTTTGTGCTATAAACACACACAGAGCGTATACATCCATGTAACCTTGACACAGTGAAAACTACATACAGTATGTGACAGCCTGTAAGTACTGAGATACATTAATGTAAAAAAAAACAACAACAACATATAAATAAATAAACACCCACACATTTTTCACCTGCAATTATGTAGTGAAATGTGTTTGTCACATACATTCACATAATTATGGAGTGCTATTCATGCTTTTCTGTGTGTAAGCACCTAATCAGAACGCAGAACGACAGCTGGCACTGTGTGTGTGTGTCGGAGAGAGAGAGGGAGTTGACACACTGTTACCATGTGGCATAGTGTATGACTGTCTGCATTGTGTGTGTGGTTCTCAAACTGTCAATAACACACACACACACACACAGAGATATTTATTGGTAATTGCTATGTTTTCACAGCGCTGGATGGTGTTCCTCGTCACCTGTCACGCACAGGTGTCAGTTGATCGGTTAACATAAGTTTTGATTGACAGGTTACAAAATGGCTCATTTGCATGAAGCTATTTCCAGAAGATTCCTCTCAAGATGTTTAATTCTCCTAATAAAATAATAATGACTAAAACTGTGTCAGGCCACTGGACACAGGACTGATTCTAAGCAACAATAACTAAGCAGTACTTTCATCACAAGACTGAGGTGGCTTGGGAGTGCTGTCAGGGTCAAATGATATTATATTTGTAACAGAATATACTGTGACTGATTATCACGTGGTGTTTTCAGAAGATGTTTTATTTTTTATTTTTTTACATTCTTTAAAATCTGGACCTACATTAGGCCTGGATGATAGTTCAGTCTCTTCAGCAGATTTCTGCAAAGTTGTATCACAATGAGATCTGATCTTACAAAACTACAAATGTCTGTTATCCAAATGAATGAGTCCTTCAGTAGCATAAAGCATAACGTTTTTGTTTGACATATAGTTTGGATTCATATAAAGCATAACCCAGTCCCTCTGTGTTACATAATCTGTTTATTTTACATGTGGATTTGAATACATTTCCCATATATTGACATATATTGATTTAGGGATTTCTTCTATAATAATAATAATGTGATTTTTTTTTAAGTACCTCATTCATAGT